TATTCTATTCTATTCTATTCTATTCTATTCTATTCTATTCTATTCTAAACTCCAGAAGTTCTAAATTCAGGAGACACCCCCCCCCCATTCTTATAGATCTGTATTTATGGTTTCCCTCCAGCATCTTTCCCAAACAAAATTCAGATAGTTCTTACTGTTGGCATCACAAAGTTGGACAAGTAAGAAGAGGGTGGCCAAAACAGCTGTGGTGGCAGTCCTAGGAGTTGAGACAACAGCATCCATTTCAGAAGGGAGATTCTTCCAGAGAACCATTATGCGAAAACAACATAACTTGGCTGAAATTACTATTATTATTTTTTTGCTCTGATCCAGAGGAGGTTCTTCTTTCACATCCCCAGCATTATCTATTAGGTTACATTTATTTTGTTTCTAAAACACAGTCATGATAAAAGTTTTTTTTAAAAAAAAAAACCCACAAAGAACATAGACATCCAACCACATCTACATCCGGCACATTCAGAGGATACCAGATGATGGGGCTTATCAAAAGGATATAAACTGGACCATAAAGGGAAGTAGTAGAGACTGAGAGACATTTAATTGGTTATTTAAATGTCAGACATTTAAAAATTGCTTGTCATTAATTCCCCCAAATGAACATTTTTTTAAAAAATATGTCTTTTATTATTATCAATATTATTGTTATTACTGTTGTTGTTATGGTTCGTGATACAGTCAGCCAGATGTTTATACTGGATTTGGCATATTTTATCCACCTATTGAGTTCTTCCCAGGGATCTGGGATAGGCAGCTGACCAATGACATTGCTGTTTGTTGCTGATAAAGATATTGTCACAGGATGTAAGCTTTTGCAAATAAAGCTGCCTTTTGCAATTGACAGGTGCCAATTTTGTCAATGCCAATAATGTTCAACTGGTGCTCCAGTTGTTTTGGGGTTGCACCCAAAGTAGCTATTCCTGTTGCAGTTTTGTTGTTGTTGTTGTTGTTGTTGCCACAGTCATTCTACTTTTATTTGCCGGGTTTTGTATTTTGCGATTTTCTCCAATTCTTTCTCTTCTAATCAGCAATTTTCAGACACTGGCATATACACTATATAGTTTTTGTCTTATTAACCATTCTAAAGTCTGGGGTGTTATGTCACAGGTATTTGTTTGAATTATTATACCAATTCACTTATTAATAATCATTATTATAGTTTCCTTTTTTATTTTATTAATTATTATGGTACAGGTAGTCCTCAATTTATGATCACAATTGAGCCCAAAATTTATGTTGTTAAGTGAGACATTTTTTAAGTAAGTTTTCATCCCATTTTATGACCTTGCTTGCCACAGTTGTTAGAAAGAAGCAACCTAGAACTAAGGATAAATTTCCTGACAGAACAATTAATCAGTGGAATGACTTGCCTCCAGAAGTGAATGCTCCAACACCAGTGGTGGGATTCAATTTTTTTTACTGCGAGTTCTGTAGGCGTGGATTGGTGGGCATGGATTGGTGGGGAAGGTTACTGTAAAATCTCCAGTCAGAGGTAGTATTTGCTGGTTCTCCAACCTACTCAAAATTTCTCTACCGGTTCTCCAGATCTGTTCAGAACCTGCTAAATAACACCTCTGTCCAACACTGGAAGTTTTTAAGAAGAATTGGATAACCATTTGTCAGAAGTGGTGTAGAGTTTCCTGACTGAGCAGGGACTTGGATTTGAAGACTTCAAGGTCCCTTCCAATTCTGTCATTCTGTTAAATTCTATAAACGAATGAATGAATATTGATATAGCTGATATTAGTTTACTTCCAAAAGGATAGGACATACTCCTGCCAATGATAGCAAAGGAGCAACAGATATTTTATTACTTCTCCATGCTAGTCCAAGAGAACTAACAATTCCTCAGGATGGTTTTAGGACGTCAAAAAGAAAGGTGGGGAAAAAATGCTATTGCTTTCTCTTTCCTTGGAGCATTTTGTGATACTCAATTTTATCTATGGAACTTCTAGCTGATATTCAGAGCTATAGTTCACTGCACAAAATGTCTTGTCCTGACCAAACACTGGTCATACAAGAACATCAACCTGTTAGTCAAGGACACATGATGAAATATGTTTGGTGTGCATGATTCATTTTTCCATTTTTACAACCAGGAGGAAGTTGAGAGGAATCCCCATTTCCCTTTCTTGTCAAACAACAAACAACAGCAGTTTTTTTAAAAAAGAAACCTGTTGGCTAAAATATGATATACAGGTAGTCCTTAAGTTACGACCACAATTGAGCCTAAATTTTCTGTTGCTAAACAAGACACTTGTTAAGTGAATTTTGCTCCATTTTATGACTTTCCTTGCCACAGCTGTTAAGTGAATCCCTGCAGTTGTTAAGGTAGCAATATGGTTGTTAAGTGAATCTGGCTTCGTCATTGACTTTGCTTGTCAGAAGGTCATAAAAGGGGATTACATGACCTTAGGAGACTGCAACCATCATAAATACGAGTCAGTTGCCAAGTGTCTGAATATTGATCACATAACCATGGGGATGGTTATGTGATCAATATTTCCACGCTGTTGGTCACTTATTTCCACGCTGTTGTTAACTTTGAATGGTCACTAAACAAACTGTTGTAAGTTGAGGGCTACCTGTATTTTATTTATTTCTGCCTTACTGAATGCTAGGTATTGAAGTCCATTTCCTAGTATGATTTGATTGCTGATTGTACCCTATGACTATCATTTTAAATGTTGTATGTTATGATTCTTGATTCTTAACAAATGTACCTTTTCTTTACATATACTGAGAGCATTTACACCAAGACAAATTCCTTGTGTGTCCAATCACACTTGGCCAATAAAGTATTCTATTCTATTCTATTCTATTCTATTCTATTCTGTTCTGTTCTATTCCTTGCAGACAGCTGGTCATTTGCATCCTTTTAGAGGGTCGTTGAGGCCAATTGGAGGTTTATCTGTGTCCTCAGGGGTCACCTGAGTAGTGCTCCTGGTTCCTGTAATCTGCATTTTTTTCCCCTCTGGAAATCTATTCCTACTGCTAGGTTCACTTAATAACCGTGTTACTAATTTAAGAACTGCAGTGAATCAGGTAACAAATGTGGTTTGAGAAGTCGTAAAACTGGGTAAAACTCAGCTGACAAATTTCTCACTTAACAACACAAATGTTGGGCTCAACTGTGGGTCGTAAGGTGAGGACTACCTGTACACTTTTTATTTTATTTTTCCGTTCCAAACCCCCCACCCCCACCCTGCCGGATTTTGCTTTGAAATGAAGTGCTACCTGTAGGTCTTCGTATATTCCTGCCTGCCTGATCGCCTGAAGGGGGAGCTACTTCAAGGACCAGGTGCTGACATTGCGTTTAAAAAAAAAAAAAACCGCTTACGGGGTTTTTGGCCGTTCTTCCTTCCCGTACAGTCTCCGGAAGTATGGTTTTCCCTGGCTTCCCCACCCACTTTCCCGCTCTGCTACCCGGCTTTAGGTCCTTCCCCAAGATGGCGAAGCTATTGAGCTGTGTACTGGGGCCTCGGTTGTACCGAGTCTACCGGGAACGAAGCCCCACCAGATCGCGCCGCCTCAGGGCTGAACCAGACGATGGGTCCCAATCCTCCTTGGACCCTTCTTGGGTGAGCCCGCTACTTTTGACGGCCCCTTGAAATATTTGGTATTGCCCACGTCACCCTTTGTAGAGGCTGGGGGGAGGTGAGCGAAACCATTATTGAACACGGACGGGGTGTGTGTGACGTTTCTTGACACTAGCCTTCAAGAAAGGGATCTGATGAAGACAGCGTGCAGTTGAAGAATTGGGTCGCTTGCAAGCTGGTTTAAGGGGGGAACAAACTCAACCCGGAGAATCCTCTTATTTGAGAGTCCGGAAGGAAAAATGCAAAACAAAAAGGCAATAGGCCGGTTAAAAACAGCATATTTTGTGCAGGCGATTAAGAAATCCGGTTTTTGTTCTGTTTCTGTTTTGTTCTTTTTCAAAACTGACCTTTCCTGAAAGGGGAGAGAAACTCTGTATGTGCATGTATAAAATATACGATAGATAGGGACAGAGACAGAAATGATATATACATTAGATAGGTAGGTAGGTAGATAGACAGGTAGCTAGAGACAGAGAGACAGAAACAGATGATATAAATAAGAGATAAATAGATAGAGACAAAGAGAGACAGAAACATGATATAAATAAGATAGATAGATAGATAGATAGATAGATAGATAGATAGATAGATAGATAGATAGATAGATAGATAGCATAAGTGATGCTTTTGCAGGTTGTTAAAGCAGCGCTGCTATGGCAAAAGCTAGCCCAGTGGTATATCTGCCTGCTATGCATCTGAAAATGAACTCTCATTCAATTTTAAAGTTTCTGTGTGTCTTTCTCCTGCAGAGCCTTCAAAACAGCTTGCGATTCTATCAGAACCAAAGTGTAAATAAAACAATTTTCATTAAGCATTGTTTCAGGGCATACATGGAACCCGATCTCAAACAAATGTTTCTGGTAACACAGTGAGTTTTCTTGGCAACCCAGAAAACCTTGGGATTTTATTCCAGAATTTATGAGATGAAAATCTAGAAATGGATACCATCACTGAGAATTTTATTTGGTGGGTATCACTAGGCTGGCTTCCTCCTACCTTTTTCTAAGGTCCTTTCAAAGAGGGGGGAGTGCCCCCCTCTCCCTCCTTGGGGGAATATTTCATAGAACTGTTGTGTGGGGAAATAGAAGTAAGTGCTTTGGATATTACTTTGAAAAAAGGATGAGATAAAAAGTACAGAAACAAATAGGAAGTTAATTTAAAAAATGTGCAGTTCAACATTGAAATGAGGGGTCCTTAGTAATCTCTGGTTGTTTTCTTGCAGATGTTTCATTACCCAAACTAGGTTAACATTATCAGTGCCAGCTATCAGTACTAGCACTGCTGATGTTATCTAGTTTGGGTAATGAAACATCTGCAAGAAAACCACCAAACTAAGAGCACACCAAGGACCCCTTCAAGTGGGAAGTTGGAATGCATGCTGGAAAAAGAGCCTTTCCTTGCTTTTATATAGGAGCAGACCCTTAGGACTTTAATAGTTGGAAACTTGTGTTCCTTAGCAACTTATGTCCATGATTCATTTATTGGCTAAGCTGAGCTTAATTTGTGGTAGCCCTTGTCCAATGGAACACTGTCCCCTTAAGTTAGGTAGGCCTCCACTCTCCTACTCCTTGGTAAAGCTTTGAAGGCCTGGATTTCCCCCAAGCACTGGGATAAGATTGGATAATTTGCACATTAGAAGGCTGAACCTGCTGCCAGGTCTTTGTTCTTTGAAACAT